TTGTTCATTCGATAACAAAAGCATGCAAACCCATCTTTAGGTCAAACTGGCCTATTAAACTTCTATTAGAATTATAGCAATTTCCTTTTTTTCAATACCTTTTTTGAAGTTTAAAAAAGACTTTTCTACGTTATAAACTGTAACAGCATCAGAGAAAAACATCCTTAGAACAACATTGACGTTTGAGACTGAATTCATGTTTCTTTGATTAAATAACCAGAAGTAAATTAAGATGATTTGTTTTTTTGGATTCACTAATATTAGTTTCAACTAAGTTGAAACTAATATTGGTAGGAACAAAGTTCTTGTAATGCAGTTATTTATTCAGAATATAAATGTCCGCATTGTTTAGGTTAATTTAAAAAAGTTCTTTAGCGCACACTGTGATCACAACAGAATCCATATCTAAAGGACGGACAAAGAGTCCAAAACAAGAGAAGCATAAACTTGTCTTCACCTTTCAATCTCAATTACAAATTGATCCATGGTGACCTGAAATTATAACCTCAGAAACAATTTTTCCTTTCCTAATAAAGGCTGATACCTCAATAGACGCCAATTCGTCATGTTTTCGTTTACGGGTTCAACAGAGCAGTGACTGATTAAGGGGGATAGGGTATGTCAATTCTGGATCCGTCACATAGTTTGATCTCAAGCGTTTACAATGCAACAAATAAATTTTCTTGCGCCAACATCGATTAAAAAAAAAATTTAACTTTTATAAAAAAAATTCTTAAAAAGTTCTTTGTTTTGCCTCAAGTAGATTTGATACAAAACAAAGAATGAAAATGAAAGAAACATAATAAAATAAATATTTAAATAAATAGTTAAATAATAAAATGAAAGAAATATATTTTAAGCAATATTACAGTGTAATTTATCCAAATTAATTAATGCAAATGCAAATAGTTTTTGATGCAATTTTGTTCAACTTGATTTAAATTTACAAACTTTTTAAATTTATAATTTCAAAAGGTTAATAAATTTAAAACAAGTAAAGAAAAACTACATAAAAAGCCTTTTTTATTTGTATTCATATACTTTTGAATACATTACACTTTTGTGTGTGTGTATATACAGTAGCGTCCAAAAGTTTGCGGACAGGCAAAAAAATAAAGAATTTTAATTATATTTCAGCACATACTTTACTAAAGCCAACATATTTTATACCAATTAAAAGGTTTTCAAATTTACAATTAGGTTTTGAACAAATAATTATTATCTAAATAATATTTTTAAATTTATATACAAATCAACGGTCTTTGATAAGTTCAAAAATTTGCGGACAAAGCATTATTTTTTAAAATAGTTAAAATATTTCAACAATATTTGATCAAAATTTTTGCAAAAGCAAAATCATATTAGTATTTTGTAGGATATCCTTTACAATCATGAATAGCTTGGCATCTATGAGGCATAGAGTCAACTAAATTAATGCAAACGTCAATGGGAATTAAGTCCCATAATTCTTTGATTTTATTAAATAAATCAGCATAATTTGTAGGCTTAATTCCTTTCATTTGACGGTCAACATGTTCCCATAGATGTTCAATGGGATTTAAGTTAGGTGATTGGGATGGCCACTTCAAAACATTAACTTTACTCTCTTTAAAAAACTCTAAAACCGATTTAGCTGTATGTTTGGGATCGTTATTCTGTTGGTAAATCCATCCTCGAGGCATTTTATCCTTTGCATATGGTAACATAATAGTCTTACATATATCTTTGTACTTTTCTTGATTCATATTCTCGGTAATTCTATGGAGAGGACCAACTCCATTTCGGCTAAAACATCCCCAAACCATTACATTACCTCCTCCATGTTTTACGGTAGGCAGTTGGTATTTAGGATTGTACCTAGTACCTACTGGACGTCGAACATACCTAATTCCATCGGATCCAAACAGCATAAATTTGCTTCCGTCACTAAAAAGACTTTTTGACCATTTTTGACTACTCCACTTTAGATGTTTTGATGCAAATTCTATTCGGGCGTTACGGTTTTTCAAGGAAACTAATGGCTTTTTAGCTGGGCGTCTTCCAAACAAATTAGCGTGACGTAAACGACGTTTTATAGTAGAAATACTACAATTCATTCCATAGAAACGTCTCATTTGTACGTTTAAATCGACAGCTGTCAAACGGGGATTTTCTTTGCTTAGTATTACAAGCTTTTTATCCTGATAACGCGTTGTTTTGTGTGGCCTTCCTGATTGATTTTTATTCTTTGTAGATCTAGTAAGCTCAAATCTCTTCATAATTTGTCCAACAGCAGACTTACCAACTCCATAAAGCTGTGCTGTTTTACGAAACGAATTTCCATTCTGAACTGATCTCAAGATCAATTTTTTTACTGGAGATGAAATACATTTCTTAGATCCCATGATCTCAATCACTTATATATAAAGTTTTGAAATTATTTCCACAAAGTATTTGTTTATAAAATCAACAAATTAGCTATTTTGTGGTGAAAATGTTAAAAGCGTTAGTTTGTCCGCAAACTTTTGAACTTATCAAAAATCGCCATTTTTTTAACCAATTTAAAAATGATAATTAAATATTCATTATTTGCTCAAAACATAATTTTTAACTTGGAAACCTTTTAATTGGTATATAATATGTTGGCTTTAGTGAAATATGTGCTGAAATTTAAGTAAAATTCCTTATTTTTTTGCCTGTCCGCAAACTTTTGGACGCTACTGTATATATATATATATATATATATATATATATATATATATATATATATATATATATTATATATATATATATATATATATATATATATATATATATATATATATATATATATATATATATATATATATATATATATATATGTATGTATATATATATATACATATATACATATATATATATATATATATATATATATATATATATATATATATATATATATATATATATATATACATATATATATATATATATATATATATATATATATATATATATATATATATATATATATATATATATATATTTATGTATATATATATATATATATTTATTTTTGTGTATATATATATATATATATATATATATATATATATATATATATATATATATATATATATTTGTGTATATGTATATATTTTTTTTCTTTTTCTTTTTTTTTTTGACACTTTTATTTTAAGGGACTTAGTGGTAAGACTGAATTTGACTTTTTTTTGCCCCAGTCATGTATTTATATATTTGTACTTGCTTAATTTCGTAAACTTTTCTTATCGTCGAAATACATTAAATCCAAAAATTATAATGTATTAAAAAATTGTGAAAAGATAACTTTTTTTAAATTCAACCGGTGGGTAATCTTGGCGAAAAAAAAATTAAAAAAATTATTTATGTAGGATTTATGGTTGTTTTAATAAATAAAAAACGTTTTAAATAATTAAAAAAAGCGCTATTGCACTTTTATTTTTATTATAAATCAAATAATATAAATCAAATGCTGTTTTCATGTTTTACCAAGAAAAAACGAGTCTAACGACAGTAGGTGTTAGACGTTAACAGCCATTTTCCATTAAAGTATTTTAGTTTTTTTTAAAATCATTTACAGAAGTTGCATTAATAACATCTTGATCTAAAATATTCCAAGCTTCTACAACACGGTTGAGGAAAAAATTATGCCTAGAAAGTGAGTTTACATATTGTCTTCTTAATTTCTGATCATGCCTTCTCGTAGTATTAGTTATTCTTTCAGGGTCGTTATGCCAGTTTATTTTATCTATATTGTTTTGAAATCTAAACATCTGAATTAGATCACATCGCAACCTTCTATGAAGCAATTTTAAAAGTTCCATATTTTGTTTCCTTTTTCATAATTAATACCTTTTGGGAAACAAATTTTAGTTGCTCGTTTTTGGACTCTTTCAATACGATAAATATCTTTAGCGTAGTATGGGTTCCATATTTGAAATGCATATTTGAAATGCGTGAGGTCGCACAAGTGATATGTATAATAGTTTCATAGTATTTTTCTCGTTCTAACGATGTCTCTTAAGATTTTTCCTAGAGGTTCCTAGTTCTTCAGTATTGCACTTTAGTGTGTATTTATTTTTCGGGTTATCATGACCTATTTGCATTATCTTGCATTTATCAATATTAAAGCTTATTAGCCATTTAGTTAACCATTCGAAGAGATAATCCAAGTCATCTTGAAGGGAATTTTTATGCAAATTTTTATCAACTTTATTTATTTTTGCTATCATTTTTGTGTCATCTGCATATAATTTAGCTTTTTTATTTGAACCCTGAATTAGATCATTGATGAAAATTATAAAAAGTAAAGAACCGAGAACTGATCCTTGCGGTACTCCACTTTTTACAGTTTCCCATTCTGATATAAATTTCCCTAGAACTACTCTTTGTTTTCTGTTATTCAAAAACGACACACATTATTACAATTTATTAGAAAAAAATTTGATTCCTTGATGATCTCACAAAATGCCCTTGCCCCGCAGCGGCTGCCGAGGCTAAAAATGTGTAAAGACTGAAAGCATGTACTATTAAAACTAATAGATTCAGTTTTTTTGCTTTCTTTTTCAATTAAATTGTAAAGCTCCAAAATCTTAATGTCATCTATACAATCATGTGTATAATGTGATTGTATTAATTTTTATATTTGGCAAGATATTAGGGGGCCACTAAGTCATTAGGACCTGGATAAAAACTGTCACGTTGTCGCTTTCCTTTTTTTTATTTTTATTTTCTAATGCTCTACTAATATTTACACGATACAAAATTTAAAAAAAATAAATTACTATAATATTTTTATTAAAATTTATTTTGTAAAAAAAAAATTAATCCCACATTTCGATTTCAAAAATGAAAACATCGACTCGATTTCAAAATGTATTTAGTCAGTTTTACTCAACTTAAGAAAGTCGATTAAGTCGGCAACACTGATCTCTATAACTATATCTATATATATATCTATATGATATCTATAATAACGTTGTTATAGAGATTAGTGGGTCGGCAGTCGAATTATTCAAATCGTAACAACACTAATAAAAACAAACTTGTCAAGATGCACGTGAACTACAAAATGTTTGCAAAATTGAATCGTTGAATATAACAATTTTGTAAGAGCTTTTAAACTAATTATAAAAATTTCTGACCGTGATATTTAATCTGCATTCTAGTAATAGTGAGTTATTAAATATTTATACTAATTAAGATGGGTTCTTTGTTTTTTTTTTTTTTTTTCTGGAATAAACTTTGAAGAAAATTAAAAAATAAACTTTATTCTTCAACGCTTTTTATCTAAAAACTGAAAAATAAAACATTTTTTTTTATCTTAGTCTTGTATTTACTCTGTTCTCTTTTTTATTGATATTAATATATTTTTAAATTATATAATCATTTGTTTGTAGTTATAGCTATAGTTCTCAATAATATTTCTCAATAAGTTCTCAATAATATATATATATATATATATATATATATATAATATATATATATATATATATATATATATATATATATATATATATATATATATATATATATATATATACATATATATATATATATATATATATATATATATATATATATATATATATATATATATATATATATAAAATATATATATATATATATATATATATATATATATATATATATATATATATATATATATATACGTATATATATATATATATATATATATATATATATATATATATATATATATATATATATATATATATATATATATATAATAAATGTAAAACAAGTAAAGAAAAACTATATATATATACACATATTGCTTTTACTTTTTTTCTTAGTTTTGTAAAAATGAGTTACAATAATACTAGTTTTATTGCTGATAATGGAAATTACAAGTATCAACAAGAATCATTAGATTCTTCTAGGAATCAAAGACAGTTTTATGCTCCCTATCAGCCATGTGCTCCTCATTCTGGGTCACCATTTTTGTTTTCCAATCAAGATTCAACTTGCAATTTACCATCGTATGTTTTACCAGTAATACCTCCATCAAATATCATGAGACCACCACATTTATATATGCAAGCAGTAAATTCCCCCTGCAGCAATCAGTTTTACTCTCCACAGCAGTTGTTACCACAAAATCCTCCATTACAACAGCAGTACAATAATTTTCCCCCAAATAATAACTTATGGAACAATTGTTCATTGAATGTAAATGGTTCAAATTTTCCGCAAACATGTGGCAATTTTCAGGATGACAAGAATCACATGCGCCAATATAAAAACTTTCATTCTGGTCATCAAAAAAACAATAATTTTTTAAAAAATCAAAACAATTATTATAATCAAAATAAAAGCTGGAACTATAAAAAAAATTTTAATGAAAGTTCTACAATGAAAAACAAAGAATCTATTCCTAATGTAAGTATAAAATTTTTTTGTTTTAAGGGAGGATCGATGTTTCCATGGTCACAAATTTTACATTATTGTAATTATAAAACCTTTGTTGTTATATTTATTAAAGTATTATGCATTTTATTAATACATATTAAAATAATATGCATTATTGACAGAAAATTTAAAAGTTAAAAATTTTAGAATGGTTAAGCTGTACATGTTTAATGTGAAAACTCAAATCTATATTCTCAAGTCTTTAATTGGGAATAAAAGAGAGGGATAGGAGTTTTAGTCCAGATCTAATAAATAGCGGAGAGTTAATAGAGGGGTTTAATAAGAGGGGTGTGGGAATTTTTTTTCTACGTAATGCTATTTATCTCGGCCAGAATGTGAAAACTTCTGAACTGACGCCATATTAAATTATAAATATTTTTTATAAAAAACTTCAATTTATAAAACCAAATTAATATTTTTAACAAAACCTAAACACATAAACAATGCGAAAAGAAATTTATTTTAAGTGGTTTTGCTGTTTCATAGTGTTTAATTAACAGTTATTATTTTTAGGCGTTAAAATCATTTTATATATTTAAATAAATCATTTTAAACGCATAAAACTATTTAATTCTAATTAAATAATTTTATGCGTGTTTTTTTAAAAATATTAATTTGGGTTTTAGTTAAATGCGCATTTTCTACAGCTGTTTTATCATAATTTTAATCAGATTTAATATGTTGATATAATTTTTATACTTTGGTAAGAAATAAACCAAAAGCTCTTTTTTGACAAATTGAGATTTACATGGTCAACAATTTTTATAGCTTATTTACACTGAAATTTTTTGTTTTTATTGATGATTGAAATAATTATTTTATAATTTTTAAGACCAATTTTCACTGAATTTTTTTTTGTTTAGTTATAAGATATAAATTTTTTGTTGATAACAAGTAAAAATTAATAAATGGGGGTCTTAATAAACCTAGAGTGGGTGAGCTAATTTTTAAAAAATTAATAAATGTCCCACCCTGCCTCTATTATTAAGGACTCGACAGTATATACATTGAAGCTTTTATCTATTTATATGTTGAAACTCTAATATTGTTAAGCAATTTAGTTGTACCAAAACTATTTTATTTAAAATTATTTTAATCAAAAAAATGTAATTTATGTTAATTTTTATCCACAGTTGTTTAAATCATTATTAACACTGAGATTAAAGAAAATTAATAATTTCATTTAAATGAATTTTCTAATTAGATAACAAAAAAAGTACATGATTTTTTTTTATTAAATTTTTCAAATTTTATTGACTGCAACCTTCACCAATATTCAGTTGCTAAATTACAATAAAACTGTTCTATAAAATAAGTTTAAGAGCATTTAAAAAAATCTCAAAGTTTTAAGCTCAATTAAAAAGTTTGTGAAAGTTCAATTTTATTTTCCAAAGTTTAATAATTCTTGCAATTAATGCACTTTATTATCCACTTTATTATTAATCCACAAGCCTATCAAGTAAAATATGTTAAATTTATGTTTTTTGTTAAATGTTAAATTTATGATTTTTGTTGTGTTAAATTTATGATTTTTAGGTTTGATTTCCTCAAGTAATTGTTTTTCTATAGTTTTGCTGGTAAGAATCATTCCATACCAACTGGACCAAAGTCCAACATGGACCCCATCAGTTTTTAATAAAACTTGGTGGTTTGGTTAATATCAAGGAGAAAAGCAATTCCTGAAAATTTCAGCATAAAATCTTATGCGGTTCATGAGAATTGTAGAAAATTGAAATGAAAAAAGAAAAGAAATAATACAAAAACAATTTATAAAGAAAAGAGTGGAAACAAAGATGAGACTAGCTTACGGGTCATTCCATGCCAAATGGACCAAAATTTTAGGATATCAACATGGACCACCTCAGATTTTAATGAAACTTAGTGGATTAATTAATGTCAATGAGAAAAGCAGTTCCTGAAAATTTCAGCATAAAATCTTTTGCGTTTCATGAGATATGGTCATTTGAGATTTCTTATTTTTCCAAAAATAAAAAACTTTAGTCGTGAAAACATGTTTTGTTCATACTTTGAAGCTCTATTTAAAAAAAAAAAAAAAAATTTCAGAAAATTGTCTAGTTTTTATTTTTATTTTATACAACTCTAGACTTACTTTAATAAAACTTTTTGTTAAGTAAACAAACTTGGGTTCATTAATGGAATTAATTAAAGCAAAGTTTGATGTTTCTTCAAAATCAGAAAAACTTAAACTGCTGACTTTGGTTTCTGAGAGTTGGAACCTTAATTATACACAAAACTATTTTTCTGCTTACCTAAGAATTATAAAAGCTGCAAGGTATTTGAAACAAATGCATGTCACAATCATCTAAAAAAGAAGGAAGTTCTTTTAGCGAGAAAGTAAAAAATCAAGTTCATGAATTTTACCAATCATATAAATACTCTCGAATGTGTTCAGGTATGAAACAGTATGCCTCAAAACAAATTAGTGGTAAAAGAAAACATTTTCAAAAAAAGATTTCTATTAGTTAATATAAAAGAAATTTATTTAGAGTTCATTTCCTTTAGCATCAAGGTTTTCAAAGTTTTGTGATCATGAGAAGAAACTGCATGCTGCACAGTTACCATAACTGCCCAGATACCAACACACTAAAAGAGTATCTTACTGCTTTGTCTGATAAACAAATTCCACAGCGTGGAAGAAATTCTTTAATCAGTGGTGAAAAGCCAACCTCTAGTGGATGATTTTATTGAAAAAGCTTGTCAACAAATAGACCAATTACAAGACCATCATTGTATAGCATAAATTTAAGCAGTGTATTTGCAACATCTAAGAATAAAATTACCAAGTAATCATATTTTAGTATTACTAGACTTTTTAAAAATTACAGTTTTTTAATTCAAGATGCAGTACAAGGTTTCCATTGGAACAACAGTCAAGCAACATTGCTTCCTTTTGTTATTTACTATATGGAAGAAAATATGATAAAATGTAAAATTGTTTGTATCATTTCAGATCATTTGCAACACATTACAAACTCAGTTCATTGTTTCATTTATGAAGTAATAAAACATTTAAAATAGTTGATGCCTTACTTTAACCACTGCATTTATTTTAGTGATGGTGCAGGTTCACAATATAAAAATCACAAAAACATATCTAACTTATGTCACCATGAACAAGATCATTAAGTATCTACAGAATGGCATTTTTAAATGTTTAAGAAAACATTTGGACTAAGTTTATATGATTAAAACTAAATATAAATAGCTAAAAATAAATGCATAACAATAAAACTAAAGTTTTCATTTTAGTCGAAGCTCGCTTTCTCTAATAATATTCACTGCAATCTGCAGAGTTGATAATTTATTTCATACACGTTTAATTCATGCTTTCCTGACTCATACAAGTTGCAGTATTTTAAGTTTTATCTTTTCTTTTGTTTTAAGTCTTGGTTTCTATGGTAATTCTTGGTTTCTATGGACTTCTAACTTAATTATTATTTTATAAAAATTGTTTGCAAACTTGTTTTGAGTGAGTTTCTTAATAAATTCATAAATCACTAATACAAAGTGGTTTGTATAACATTTGTAGGTTACAATACTAATACAATACTGTTCTAATCCTAACACAACCACTAATACAAAGTGGTTATAAAGCATTTAAAAATAACATTTATAACATTTAAATTAAATGGATGATTCATATAGACATTATTTATAAAACGTTTTATCAAATAATGTTATTGTTCTTATAATTATTGTATGTTTTAGGGACTATATCGGTGTGATCCTTGTGAAAAAGATTTCAATGGTGAAAAAGCATTAATAGCTCATCAGAAAATGCACATAAAAGTAATTTTTGTTGGTGTTTTAAAAAGATATAAAAATTACTTATAAATTTGATCTAATTAATGTGGAGGAAACAAACTACAACATTGGGTTTGGTCCTACTCAAATTGAATATTTATATATTCAAGATTGTATCATATTTATAGTTAAGATCAATTAAAATTAAATAGTATTAAATAAAATTTTATAGTAAATTTTCGTAAATGTATTGATTATTATTTTATATTTCGAATGTGTGTGTATATATATATATATATATATATATATATATATATATTATATATATATATATATATATATATATATATATATATATATATATATATTAATTAATTATTATGAATATTATGAATTAATACATTTTGAATTAATATCGAAATGTCGCCACGGAAACAAATTTGTTATCTGCAACTTTAACGTCATCTAAGCTAACACTGTATTGCATTTTTGTATATAACTTTTGTTGTTGTTATCGTTGCTTGTAATGTCTGATGATCGCATAAAACCTGAAACTCCGAGTAATCTTACAAATTTAATTGTACTTAATTATTTTATATATATATATATATACATATATATATATATATATATATATATATATATATATATATATATATATATATATATATATATATATATATATATATATATATATATATATATATATATATATATATATATATATATATAAAACTTGTTTGGGTTGGACAGTGTCCAATCAAATTTTTTAAATATAATTTTTACGGTTTTACAGAACTTTTAATCGTTGATCTTTTTAAAAGTTTTTAATTTATGCGAAGGCATAAAATAAAAACTTTAAAAATTTTAAAAAACTGTAAATAAAATCAAAACTTTTAAAAACTTTAAACTATAAAATCAAAAATTATATATTTAAAATATTATAAATTAAATGTTATATTTAATTTTTTTAGTAGGTATGTTTTTGTTATGATAAATTTAAACATTTGAAACTATTTTTAAATTAGTTTCAAGCATTTAAATTTATCATAAAAAGTCTTTCTAAAAATCTTTTATTAAAAGATTATTTTTTTCAAGTTACTTTAAATTATAAATAAGTTAAATTAAATCTTCCGAAGATTTAATTGCTTTTTTTTTTTTGTTATTATTTTTACAAAGAATTGTTTAAAAGTTGTTGTTTTTATTTAACTTAACTTTTAACAAAGCATAAAATGGTTAAAAATTGCAATTTTAAAAAGACAACGTTTTTTTAAACTATATATATATATTTTTTGCAACTTTTTGAAAAAAATGTTTAAACCACTTAAAAATATTATATTAATTTACTTTTAATTTTAATTTTTATATATATACTAAAGTATTTATTTTGTAGAATTTAATTCCCTTCGGTCAAAATGTCCGATTACTTTGTAAATTGACAATTTGAGGTTTTAGCTGGACAATATCTGACCATTAAATATAATATATATACATATATATATATATATATATATATATATATATATATATATATATATATATATATATATATATATATATATATATATATATATATATATATATATATATATATATATATATATATATATATATATATATATATATAAATATATAAATATATAAATATATAAATATATAAATATATATATATATATATATATATATATATATATATATATATATATATATCAGGCTTGGTCGGGAAGCGGGTGCGATCGCACTCGATATTTGACCATGGAAATTATATTTAGTTGCGAAAAGCCGGCCAGATTTTTCAGGCGTTTTGAGAACATTTCAAAAACAAGCAAAAAAGCGCAATAAGATAAACTGGACTGATGAGAGACAGTTAAAAAAAAGAAAAATAGCTTTTAACGCAAAACTTTAAGCAAAATAAATACGATTAGAGTTTCAAAATATTTTTGAAACGTCGCTCTTTTATAATTTTTTTTTTAAAAAAAAGCGACATTTTTTGTATATAGTAACAACGTACTAATAATGATTGTTTAATAAAGAAACAAATGTTCTTCAATTTATCAAAGATTATATATAATTTTTATTTATATTCCTATGTCTTATTTCCAGTGCTGGAAATAAGAGGTGGGGGGAGGGGATGGGGTAGAAGAGCTATAGTCCCGGGACACACAATGTTATGGGCCGAGAAATAGTCAAGAGGACCTATTGGTATTTTTAAGTCATTTTTACGATGTCGCACATAAAAAAGGCCACCAAAATAATGCAGCCCCCGGCCCTGTAAAGTCCAACAAGATTAAATCAATAAAACTAACGCTACATAATTTAATTATAAATAAAAAAAGTTTTTTCAGTACCTGTTTTATGCTTCGCGTAGTTTGAAAAGTTTAATATGTTTGAAACAATTCTTCTTAGTAAGATGAACAAATGAAATAACTAAATCATTGAGTTACTGTGGAAATTTAATTAGCTAGATAGAAATTAACTAAAAACGTTAAATTACTTTGTAAGGAGGAAGCGGAACTGCTTAACAATATCGCTGATGATGTTTAGTGAGTGGGCTTTATATCTTTAACTAGTATTTTACAGAAAAAAAAAACTTCAAGTGTAAGTATAACGAGTTTGTAAGAATGGCTGAAGCAAAAATAATTGAAGTTAATAAACCAATTTCTAATACATTACATACATATAAATACATCCCTTATATATAAAAAACAAGATTCTACTAATTAAATCTATAATATATTTACAAAACGTTGACAAGTTAAAAAATATAAATTTAAAACATTTATTTTTGTAAACAAATGTTAGTTTAAAACATTTATAGCTTTATGGATGTGACTCCGAGAATGAGCCATTGTATTAAAATAATTGTTCGTTTGATAGTATATTCTTAAAACAATTGATGCTAGAATTCTCAACGAAAAAATAACAAAAACAAAAACAAAAAAAAAAGATTTTGAAAAATAATTCAACAGAATACTCTAGAACAGTTGCGTAGTAATTTCAGTTATTTATTAATTGAACTAATAGAATTAGTTGTTCGTAAATTTGGCGGGTTTTTTGTGTTCGCGAATATTCTTTATTTATTTTTCCGCACTAAGATGTTTGACAACATTCAAGTTTATATAAGTTTCCATGTACGTCCGTAAAAAAAAATCTTATAAATCTACGATAAAATGAACTTATTATTTTGCGGACAAACAAGGAATACATAAGGAAAACATACATAAACTGAAATGTTCTCAAAAACGCCTGAAAAATCTGGCCGGCTTTTCGCAAGTAAATATAATTTCCGTGGTCAATTATCGAGTGCGATCGCACCCGCTTCCCGACCAAGCCTGATATATATATATATATATATATATATATATATATATATATATATATATATATATGTATATAATATATATAATCAGTAGGTTCATCATGTTTCCTGATGAACTTTCTAATGGAGAAACAAATTGTTGAAGACAAAAGTTAGATGAGTGTTTTTACTAATTTATTATTGCTTTGTTCTTTAAGAACATTTATATGTATATGTTACGCACAGATCTTGAAATCACACATTTCACGAACTGTGCAATTTTTTGCTCATTTCGTGAACTGGATAGCGCTGTTGCGCAGATTGTGAAATGTTAAACTTTTAGTGTTTTTTTTAATACATTGCGTAATAAATATTATTTAAAGTAAATATATGTTTTTTTATTTAATAGACTACCTGCACAACCCAAACCCTCAGTCAATGTAGCAGCACTTCGTTGCGAGTCAGGCTATAAGATAGTCGATGTAGCAGCACTCCGTTAAGTCGCAATTTCTTATTTAAGTCAATATTAATGTTTATTATACATAGTACAGGCCTTCTCGTAAGAGGCGTGCCTCGCACGCCTTATATGACTATGCATATAGTTCTTTGTTATAACAATGTGGCCATGGCTCTTTGCAAGTTTTGATAAACAGCATGTTTAAAAAATGCGCTTAAAAAAAACAAAGCAAATATAAATGCGATTTTTAATTTAATTGGTTCCATAATTACAATTAAACTGCCACAAAATTTCCTGAGTGCTTTAATGCAACTTAATAAAAGCAATCGTTGAAAAAAATATTCAGATTAGAGTTTAAGGCAAAATGAGTACAGAAGCTATCAAAAAATAATTACTAACCGTTTTATCATGGAAATATAATTTCTAATAAAGAAATTATTTACTAAAAAAAAGAATTACAATAATCTTGAAACAGTTGCATTTACCAACAACTTTTTATCCCAGGATGTGACATATCGTTTTTTTTTAAATGAATGTTGACTTGCGTATCTTTATTTATTGACAAACGTCTAATTTAAGAGATTTGTCAAACAAATTTCAAATAATTTTTATTCTAGTTAATAAGTTATCAAATATATCAAAGATGCTTGGTAAATTTATTCAATTGTTATTTTTCAAAAAAATTTTTTTACACATTTGCAAATTAATGATAAACGCACAATAAAAAAACTTTTACAAGTGTTTTTAATATGCAAACAAACTTTCACTTTATGGAAAATAAAAAAAATTTAAAAAAAAAGCATGCACAACTTTATTTATAATGAAATCATTTGCTTTAAACTTTTAATGTAATTGCTAAAAACATAAAAGAAAACATGCTTAAACATTATGATCCCTTTCTTCAATGAAAGAAAGTAATCAAATTGTTTAAGGACAGTTTTTTTTAAAGTTTTTGCAAAAGCATTTATTTTAAGTAAAATTTTGCATACTTTTGTGAGCGCATGCAAAAACCATGCTAAAACATAATTACTTTCTTCTATAGCGTACTTAGTTATTTTACTTAAAAGTGACGCTACTGAAAAAAGTAATTATGTTTTGGCATTTTTTTAAAAAAGTCTTTGAAATTAATCGTTATTCATTTTAAATATGTGCTTTTTGTAATAAATAAAAAAGTGTTGATAGCAAAATTATTTTGAAAAAATTGCTGAAGTAATGCGTTTGTTTTGAAAAATCTTAATCAAACGGCAATGTTTGCTTAAGCAAAATTAAAGAAACGTGATGTTTGTTTTTCTGTCTGTCTTTTAAGAAATGCGCGCACATTTGTCGATTTGTTGCACCCTGTATTCTATTAACTTTTTAATAAAATTTTAAATTTGCACCACAAAATTTTATTAAATTTCATGACCCTTTCCCTCACTATGGATCCACCCTTGTATTAGCCTATTTATTCATGGGAAAGAATGATAAAGATTATTAGAGCTGTCATTTTTTCACTTTTGCTTTCAATTAAGTTTACATTATTCTGGTTTTTCATTTATTTATTTTATCATTCTTTAAATATTTAACTTTTTTAGGTAATTTTAGTTATATAAATTATTTTAAGGATTTTATTCTCATTTCAGTTTATGGTTGTTGATTTTAATTTTAATTTGTTTTGTTTTTTTTAGCGCATTTTTTAAACAGGCTAATTTTCAAAACTTGCAATGAGCCGTGGTCAAGTTGTTAAAACAAAAAGCTATATGCGTGGTCATATAAGCCATGTGGTTGCACGCCTCTTACGAGAAGGCCTGTAGTATAATTAAATATAAAAAAAAAAAGTTCAACATTTCACAACCTGCGCAACAGCGCTATCCATTTCACGAAATGAGCAAAAAATTGCACAGTTCGTGAAATGCGCAATTTCATGATCTGTGCGTAACATATATAATACATGGAAAATATTTTAAGAATTTATTATTATTTGAATACTATATTTATTAAATTGGACAAGTAATAGAGACAAATAGGTATTTAAAGAAAACAACAAATAATGTTTATTAAAATAATTATTTATGGTTTAAATTAAAGTAAGGTTTGTAAATATTATTATATTAATTCATTTAAATATTTTATGGATAAGTGAATACGCTGATCTTTATTTAGAAGTTTAGGAGCTTGAAGTACTCTTTTTGAACCTATTCTTATTAACTTAAGCATCATGCTTCATATATAATTCTCATTTATCTTCATGCTTCATTTAAGCTTCTCATCTAGTACTAAAAAAAATTAGTTATACTAAAAAAGATGAATAAAGTATTTTACAATGTTTTCAAGATTTAAATACATTTTAAAATATAAAGGTATATGCTAAATACATTTTACAATGTGTACAAGATATAAATACATTTTACAATTTATATCTATGAATTCTTTATTTTTATTTTGTTACAGTGTGAAGAATGTTCATTTTCAGCATCAAGCAAATCTGTAAAACTTCATTTTATACAAGTTAGTGTGTTATTGTTATGTTATAAAATATTAATTTTTATATAATATACAAGTAGGTCCTTGTATATTTTATACAAAGCTGAATATATTTTTGGTATTTTATAATATATTTATTTAATATAATCTGTTGACTTTGATTTACAACCTAAATGTAAATTGTTTCTTATGTTATTATATGATTGTAATAGGTTTAAATAGATTAAATAGATTGTAATAGATAAAAAAACAATTGGCTAGTAACAAATAAAAAAATTACGTTAATTTATTTACTTTATTTATTAAAAGTTTATTAGTTTATCATTTTATTATTAAAATTATTTTGCTGTTTATTAAAAAATCGTTTATTAAAAAATCGTTGCTGTGATTTAACTTTTAAAATAAAAGTTTTTTTAAGAATAAATAAAATTTCAATATTGAATAAAATTTAGTAATATTTTAAAATAAATTTGACAGTTAAACCCAAGCATTAACTTTAACTTTAATATAACTTTTTTTTTAAATTGATAAAACATAATATAACAAATAAAACAAATAAAACAAAAAAATTTAATGTAACTTTAATAATAACTTAAATATATTTTTTAAATCAAAGTTAAATTATATATTTTTAAAATCTAAATTAAATTATATATTTATTTTATCAGAATAAAATTATATATTTTTATTAAAACAGTTTTTAATTAAATCGTATATTTTTTCTTAGAATTAAATTATGTTTTATGATTTTAGCTTCAAGTTTAAAAAATCAATCATTGAAATAAAATAAAAACAAAATAAAAATAAACTTTGATTTTGTTTGAGTTTTTTTTCATTAGTAAATAGCGCTTATATCAAAGATAATTGTGATTCAAACTTTTGTAACAAATATTTTTACATAAAGGTCATTCAAAAGTTAATGTAACTTTTTTTAAGATTAATTACTACTTTTATCTTATCGCTTAAAGAATAATTAAAAAGTTAAAAAATACTAAAAAAGTTGGTTAATCGAAATCGCTTATTTCTTACTTAAAGTCTTTCTATGCTTACATAAATTGCTTTGCGGGTAACACTTTAAAACAAGGCTCAAATCATCATTTAGAATCATGCAGAAGGCAAGTTTCGCATTTGCTTAGAAACACCTGAAAAAATCGAAAAGTGGAGAGAAGAAAGAAGAAGGTAAAAACTTTTTTTAAAGTTTATTCTAACATTTGATTCTAAATAGAAACAAATGATTGTGTCCTTTTCGTATCTTAAATTTTATATTTCTTTAAATTTTATGGAAAAATTTTATATTTTTTTAAATTATATAAAATTTCTTTGAATTTTGATGGAAAAAGATAACATTATTTTTAAGTAATTATTTTTACATCCACCAGACCAATAATGTTTACATAAGTTCGTTTATAGTTCATTGATATGGTTTATTGAAAAAATCTGTTGGTTTATGGTTTTATGATTTTACACAAAATTTATTCATGCCAATTGAGACAAATTGAATATCAATGCAATATTTATATGTCATCATCATCATCATCATCATCATCATCATCATCATCATCATCATCATCATCATCATCATCATCATCATCATCATCATCATCATCATCATCATTATCATCATCATCATCATCATCATCATCATCATCATCATCATCATCGTTAAACTAGCATGTTTACTTCAGTTATCTATTATTTGTTAACTGTATGGAAAGTTATATAACTTTCTTTGGGTTATAGGTAATATAAAATGGCTTAGATTGTGTGTGTGTGTTTTTGATTGAAACTTTATATTTGATGATTGGCCAATATATATACAGTTTAATAGTTTTGCAAAAAAAAAGTTAAAAAGTTATCTGTAAAGTATAGATACATTATGCCTCCTCTTATTCCCCACTTTTAACTTTTTTTCTTAATCATGTTCATCCCCTAATGTGATTTTGCCAGATCTGGTCTAAACCAATTAGTTTTGATAGTTGCAGCAAAAGTTACTCTACTATGTAAATGTCAAAGTTAATGAAGTAAAAGGAGTTTTGGTTACGATATGCAAATGCAGTTTGGCAAGTCTGTGCATTAAAAACCGAAATCTCATTTAAAAAAACAGAAAATTTAATCTGTCTTTTGTACTTGAACATTTTTTTTGTATTAGCAAAATATCTTAAGAAGAACATTGTATCAGCAATACCTTCAAGAACAACTAATGTAAATATGAAAACCAGATAGTCCAATATAACATAAACTTGGCTTTCAATATATGAAAACACCTGCATCCCCACCCTTCCATTATAATTTTTTTTTTATTGGCTTCTATATAATATAATATAAATTTAATTACATATAATCTTACTTTTTACATAAAAACTGCAAAAACAACAGAAACATCAAACTATAGTTTTAAAGAGATATCATTTTACATTTAAAAATTTTCCTACAAAAAATTTGCAAATAAAATTTCGATTAAGTGTTTAACCTTAGTTTATATTTTTTTATAACTATTTCAAGAAAAAAATAATTTTTTCTTTTAATAGTTTATGTTATATTTTAGGAAATCCTGTGTAATTAAGTTTTCTTTTCATAAACTGTAACTTTCCAAAATTTTAAAAGTTAATACCCTCTCGGTCAGTTTTTATATAAAAATTGTTATATAAAAACAGTGTTTTTAATAGTTAAGTTCCAAAGCATTGAATTGCAGGACAAAAACAAATAAAAGTTTTTTAGAGCATGAATAGGCAGATACAGTAAAACGATACAACTTTAAGGAATGGCTAGCCCAGCCAGAAGAAGTTTTGGTTGATGGAACTAGAGATAATAGCTCTTTTAGGTAGTTCAGGAGAGTTTGGCAGCTTGGCAGATAGAGCAGGTACATACATTTATAATGCGTTTTTGGACCTGAAAAGAGCATCATTAGAAGAGCTAGCCCAAATATGACAACAGTATTTGGTAAGTTTTGGTAAGAGATCAGATTCAATAATTGTGGCATCTAATTATATAGGACTTTGTACTTATAGATTTAATAACTTTTTTAAGAGTTTTATATTTATATATTTTATATTTATATATTTATTTTAAGAGTTTTATATTTATATATTTTATATTTTATATTTATTTTATATATTTAGTCATATCATTAAGAGAATTTTTAATTTCATCAAAATATCATCAATTAAAAGTCATTTTTAATTTTTAATTAAAAAAAATTTTTAATTTAGATTTTTTTTTTTAGAATTTTTAATTTAGTCATAAAAGAGTCACAAGCTGTGACATAAAATGTTGCAAAAATTATTTATAATTTTTTCATTCATAAATTAATTTCCATCAACACTCAAGATTTGATGCTGCTCAACAATTGTTCTAATAATAATAATAAAATAAGGAGTTTAGTGAATCATAAGTATGAATTTTATTTTACTTGGAGCAGTAATATTCAAACTTAGTTTAAAACAAAGTCTCTAACAATTTAGACAACAGCATTTGTATATCTTGATCTTTCTTACTCTGGATTCTATTCTTACACTTTCACTACTTTCTTACTTCAGATTCACTTTCTTACTCCGCGTTCTATTTTCAGTCCTTGTATGAAATAATGTTGGCGTATCTGGAGCGGATCTTCCAATGATGCCCTTTCTGTTTTAGATCAGGTGCAAAAATGCATTGTAAAAATAGTTGGACCTGCTCTTGCAGCTAACCTTCAACCATTGACACATTGTCGTAATGTTGCTTCTCTTCTCTTTCTCCTATAAATACTATAATGGTCGCTACTCTAAAGAGCTAGTGTCTCTTGTGCCATCTACTAAAATTTATTCTGTGTTACTCCTCATTCAATTAAGTCTCATCCTTTTACTGTGGCTGTTTCTAAGTATTCCAAAAATTCTTATTTGTCTAGTTTTTTTCCTCAAACCTCAGTTCTTTGGAATTCGCTTCCTTTATCTTGTTTTTCTGATTCATATAATTTGCTATCTTTTAAGTCGTCTGTTAATCGTTATCTTGTTTTATAAACTTCATTTTTTCTCTTCCAGTAACTTTCAACTCTTATAGTGGTTGCTTGCAGCCTTGTTGGAAGTGAAGATGTTTAAATTTAATAAAAAATGTCTGTAAATTTGAACAACTATTTTAGTTTTTTTTCTTCCTAAATGATTCCTAATTTTTCTCCAAATAATGCCAAAGGATGAGAAAAATGCATACTGCAAATACCTAAAATATATATTTTTTAAAGTATATATGTTTTATTAGGTTTCTATTTAACATTTGATTATATCTTATATATCATTTGATTAGTTAATTTAACTTAATTTCAATTTTCAATACATATACTATGCCTATACTAGATTATTGTAAAGTATTTTTATACTAGACTATTATAAAAATCTATTTTAAATACATACAAATAGCTATCTAACATTTACATTTTTATTGAATGTTTCTTTTGCAATTTTGATTGCATCCTTAGCAGCCTGAGTGCAATATTCTGCTGTTTTTAATTGGTTTTCAGTATCAACTGCAGAAATAAGATAGGGTTTACTTTCATTATGGATACTTTACGTAGTTATAGGTTTATTACTGAATGTACTCCAACCATCTTGAATGAGGGTAACAGCACAATCATCAGCATGATCATTTCTCATTAAATTGATTATTTCTTTGTTTATCTTTACTAAGAGTTCTGAAGGTATTATTTTTCTATTTGGTGGCTTGTATCCAAGTCTAAATTTTTAAGCAGCTTGGTAAATTCTATTACAATTTTCTACTACGTTGAATGGTATATTTGCTGAAAAGAAAAACCTTTCAACTTGCAATTCCAGTTCATCCTTTTGATTACTTATTGTTGTAGTAACAAAGTTAGAAATGGATGTTTGATCTGAACAATTGACGAATAATAAGTTCCACTAATAAAGCTTAAATAATTTTGCTTCTTATATTCTAACTGTTTTTTTTTTTTTTTTTTTTTATTTGCATTCACTCCCAACAAGGCTGCAAGCAACCACTATTAAGTTAGGAGTTACTAGGAAAAAAAAGAACAGAGTTATAGAGCAAGGAAACGGTTGACAGAAGACTTGAAAAGTTGAAGGTTGTATGAGTCAGGAAAACATGAAGATGGGAGAGAGTTCCAAAGGATTAAAGTGCGGGGAAAAAAACTAGATGAATAAAAGTTTTTAGAACATGCAGGGACAGATACAGTAAACGAATGAGACTTAGCTGAATGACGGGTAAAACGAGAATGAATTTTAGTTGATGGAACTAGAGATGATAAGTCCTTTGAGCAGTGACCATGATGGTATTTGTAGAAAAGAGAAAGAGATGCAACTTTACGCCGATGGAAAAGAGGCTCAAGCTTAGCAGATAGTCCAGGTCCAACAACATTTACAATGCGTTTTTGGACCTTGTCAAGAAGAGAAAGTGAATCGTTAGAAGAACCAGCCCAAATATGACAACAATATTCCATACAGGTACGAATAAGAGATTTGTAGAGGTAGAGAATGGAATCAGAAGTAAGGATATGGCGAGCACGATAAAGAGAAGCAACCTTAGCAGAAGCTAATTTAGCAATCGATTGTATATATGGTTTCCATGAAAGGTCAGTAGTAAGCGATAATCCAAAAAGACCTAAAGAGGAGGACTCAGTAAGAGGATTGCCATTCATTAATATAGGAATGTTGACCATATTACGGTAGTTGTTTGCAGTAAGCAATTGGGTTTTTTTAGAATTGAAATTCACAAGCCACTGTGAACCCCAATCTATTCAATCAGATTCAAGATCAGCTGCTTGTTCTAGGCGATCGAAAAGAGAAGACTTTTTGTCAAGACAGGAGTATAAAGTTGAGTCATCAGCAAAAAGAGCTTTAGATGAAAGGTTGTCAGGAAGATCGTTTATGTAGATAAGAAACAAAACAGGGCCCAGGATGGAACCTTGGGGAACCCCAGAAGTTACTGGAAATAAAGAAGAGTGTTGGTCTTCAAGGATGACTTTAATAAATCGGTTGGAAAGAAATGATTTGATAATCTCAAAAACTTTCCCAGAAACACCATATGAAGCAAGCTTATGGAGAAGACCAGCATGCCAAACTTTGTCGAAAGCTTTAGATATGTCAAGAGCAATAGCCCTAGCCTCACCGCCTCCATCTAATGCACGATAAAATCTTTCAGTTACAGCAGTTAGCAAGTCGGCCGTAGAGCGAGAGGAT